GCGGCTTACCACTGACCTAGCGTTTTTTTTTTTTTTTTTGGAGTCGGAGTTTCGCTCTGTTGAGGCTGGAGGGCAGTGGTGTGATCTTTGGCTCACTGCAAACTCCCGCCTCCCCGGGTTCACGCCATTCTCCTGCCTCAGCCTCCTGAGTAAGCTGGGGGACTACAGGCGGCCCGCAACCAGCCCCGGCTAATTTTTTGTATTTTTAGTAGAGGACAGGGTTTCCACCATGTTAGCCAGGATGGTCCCGATCTCCTGACCTTATGATCCGCCGCGCGCCCTCAGTCTCCCAAAAGTGCTGGGATTACGAGGCATGGAGCAACCACGCTGGCCCCTTTTTTTTTCTTTTCTTTTTTTTTTTTTTTTTTTTTGTTGAGACAGATTCTCGCTTTGTCGCCCAGACTGTGAGTGCAGTGGCCGGATTCAGCTCACTGCAAGCTCCGTCCTCCCAGGTTCACCGCCATTCTCCTGCCTCAGCCTCCCGAGTAGCTGGGGACAACAGACGCCCGCACCTTGCCCGGGCTAGGGTTTTGTATTTTTTAGTAGAGAAAAAAAAAAAAAATTAGCTGGGTGTGCTGGTGTGAGCATGTATTCCTAGCTCCTCAGGAGGCTGAGGCGGGAGGATCACTTGAGCCCAGGATGTGGAGGTTGCAGCGAGCCAAGATCACACCATTTTACTCTAGCCTGGGCAACAGAGCAAGATGCTGTCTCAAAAACCAAAAGAAAGAAATAAAATAAAAAAACACCTCTTCCAGAAGGCCAAACACCCAGCATGTCTACACTCATTGCACCCAAGTTGCGGTGAACAAATGTTTTTAATTCGTCTTCCCTTCTTCATTTGCATTTTCCAGATGTCCACCTGGTTGGGTCATAGTTTAACCAAATAAATCATTCGTTGGGATGGGAAAGCCAAGACTGGGTTCAACTTGCTCGGCTCACAGGAGCGGCCACAAAGTTCAGAGAGGGGCAGCCACCTGTTGGGGGGTCACACAGAGAGGAGGAAGAGGAAGCTGGGCCCTGTGCCCCCGGCCTCTGTTCTCTTCGGGGGCTGAGGCATGGCCTTGAGCTCCATCCTTTTTCTGAGGGGCCTAGTGTTACTACCTGACCTCAGCCTTCCCTCCTGCAAACCAGCTTCCTGCTCTCTCAGGTGATACCCCAAGATCCTAAATGTCCTGAAATTCTGTCTGCTGGAGGCCAACCTTCCCTCTTTACCGCACAACAGGCAGGAGACATGAGGGAACAAGGCTGTCTTTTTAGAAAGCCCCTTTCACCTCTGGAAATCAGTCCTCAGACACTGGTCCTCCGAAGTCGAAATAGATTTTTGTATCCAGTTTCCTTCACTCCAAGAGTCTGAGAGTTCTTGTCCCTAATGCCCAAGGTCCAGGGGCCCTACCCTTTCCCAGGGATGATTCTTGGCCAGGCTAGTCTGAGGCCTTTATTATTTTTTTGTTTCTTTTTCTTTTTCTTTTTTTGAGACGGAGTTTCGCTCTTGTTGCCCAGGCTGGAGTGCAATAGCGTGATCTTGGCTCACTGCAACCTCCACCTCCCGGGTTGAAGCGATTCTCCTGCCTCAGGCTCCCGAGTAGCTGGGATTACAGGCGTGTACCACCACACTTGACTAATTTTTGTATTTTTAGTAGAGACGGGGTTTCTCCATGTTGGTCAGGCTGGTCTCAAACTCCTGACCTCAGGTGATCCGCCCCGCTTCCCCCCACCCAGCCTCCCAAAGTGCTTGGATTACAGGTGTGAGCCACCGCACCTGGCCATTTTTTTTTTGTTTCTTTTCTTTATTTTTATTTTTATTTTTTTAGAGACAGGATCTTGCTCTGTCACCCAGGCTGGAGTGCACTAGCTCAGTCATAGCTCACTGCAGACTCGAACTCCTCGGCTCAAGTGATCCTCCTGCCTTAGCCTCCCGAATAGCTGGGACTATACACGTAAGCCACCGCACCTGCCTAATTAAAAAAAATTTTTTTTTGGACGGACACGGTGGCTCACTCCTGTAATCCCAACACTTTGAGAGGCCGAAGCGGGCAGATCACATGAGACCAGCCTGGCCAACATGGTGAAAATTAGCTGATCATGGTGGCACATGCTTGTAGCCCCAGCTACTCGGGAGGCTGAGGCAAAGAATCAATCACTTGAACCCGGGAGGCAGAGGTTGCAATGAGCCGAGATTGAACCACTGCACTGCAGCCTGGGTGACTGAGTGAGATTCCATCTCAAAAAAAAAAAAAAAAAATTTTAAGCCGGGTTCAGGGGCTCACGCCTGTAATCCCAGCACTTTGGGAGGTTGAGGTGGGTGAATCATTTGAGGTCAGGAGTTCAAGACCAGCCTGGCCAACATGGTGAAATCCCATCTCTACTAAAAACACAAAAACTAGCCAGGCAGTGGTAGCACATGCCTGTAATCCCAGCTACTGGGAAGGCTGAGGGAGGAGAATCGTTTGAGTCTAGGAGGTATAGGTTGCAGTGAGCCAAGATCACCACTGTACTCTAGGCTGGGCGACAGAATGAGACCCTATCTCAAAAAAGAGGAGAGAGAGAGAGAAAGAAAGAAAAAGAGAAAGAAAGAAAAAAAGAAAAAAAGATGGGGGTCTAGCTATATGGCCCAGGCTGGTCTCAAACTACTGGGCTCAAGTGATCCTCCTGCCTCAGCCTCCCAAAGTGCTGGGATTACAGGCATAAGCCACGGCACCCAGCCAGCTATTTCTGACTAATGGGGTCTGCAACTAGGGGTTAGGGTGGCCAGGGACCCAGGTCGCCCATATCTGCAGCCCTGGACCCCAAAAGAGACAGGGAGTGAGGACTGTGACCATGAAAGTAATGCTGCCACCACCTTGTCGTGTGCTAACAACCACACGGGGATATGACTCTTGTTCCTGTACCCAAGTCCCAGGTACAGTCATTGAGGCAGAGGGAGGAGGGTTGGCCCAGGCAGCTGTTGCTCCTCCATTCCAAGGTTTATGCCTACCGTCCTGCTGTGACAAACGAGTGTACACCCACAGAAGGAAGGCATAGGGTTGTGCGCAGGGGACGCGCTAATGCTAAAGGAGTGCACATCAGGAGAGAGGGACATCGCATGCCACATCATAGAGCTCACAGACACATAATAGGGCCTTCCTGCATCACGATTTTGGACACACAGCTAACTCTCCAACTCCCCGACTCACACCAAACCTCAGACGCAGAGCCCTTGGACACACAACTTCCAGACCCACACACCTCAGATACACACCCCTTGGAGACACAACTCCCTCCTACCACAACCTCCGGGACTCACAACCCCACGACACACACCCCTTTAGACACACACCCCACCCTGGGACGCCCAGCAGTACACCCGGACCTCCAAAACCCACCTAGCCCGCAGAAGCCGTTCAGAGGACACCGCAGGAGCCTCAACCCGATATGACACGCACCTGCTCGGCCTGAGCCCTGGGACGCTGGGCGCACGGACCCGCGGCGGCTGCACGAAGATCAGGGGCCCGCGGCCGCAGGTGCCTTGGGAGCGGGCGGCCCTGCCCCCGGGAGCTGATTGGGCGTGACGGGCTTATTTGCATAGAGGGCGTCACCCTGGAGGCGGCGATGGGCGGGCACTTGGGCGTGGCCCCGCCCCGGGAGTTCATGGGCCTGGGACTCAGACGCGAAAGGATGCTGGGGCGCCAGGGGTGGGGGCGCGGATAAGGAAGAAGCAGGACGAAGGGAGGGGTCTGGATCAGACTGGCCAGGCTTTCCCCGCCCTCACTGGGCGCCCTTGACCTTACTGCCGACCCCTGACCCTACTGTGACCCTAACCCTAATTCTAAACCTGTTCCTAACTCGGCCCAACTTGCCTGGATTAATTCCATCCTGAGCGAAATAGAACTCCGATCCCGGACCCCGTCGACCCGAGGAACCAAGCCCTTCTCGCAGGCAACGCTGACCTTCGCGCTCACTAGAATGGAAAGACTGCAAGACGGGGCTCTGGGGTCGCCTGTGTGGCCTCACTCAACTGTGCCTCCCGGGGCCAGATACGTGCCCCCACAGGGAGTGACAGGCCCTCCGCAGCTACTGGTCCCTCAACCCCGCCCCGCCTGCCTCTCCACAGTCCAAGACAACCACAATGCTTCCACCAACCGCGCCCCTCTCCCTCCCTCTTCCCGCTAGAGGCTGTTTTCTAAACTTCAAAGGTCAGTTGTGAGGAGCCTTCCAGATTGGACCCCAGCCCAGACCTCTAAATCTACCCCTTCCCCTGGGATTCCAGCACAGGCCAGACCCACAGGAAGATCAGAGCGGGGGTTGGTGAATGTATCAATGTGAAAAGAATTACAGGATAAAGATGGCTCTGGGCTGGGCACCCCCCCCCCCCCCCCCCCGCCCCATCCCGGGTCTGAGGCAGGGAGGGGATCCATGCACTCCCCTAGCCCTGTGGGGTCAGTCTTGGGCCAGAGGGAGGGATGGGAGGCTGGGACAGGCCAGAATTGGGGCAAGGGTTGTGCCAGAGGAGTTAGGGAGGGTTTCTCAGAAGAGGGGGCATTTGTGCTGGGCTTTCAAGTATGTGTAGGAGTTTGCCACTAGGAGAAAGGTTTTTCTTGTGTTTTCCTTCAAGGCAGGATCTCACTCTGTTGCCCAGGCTGGAGTGCAGTGGCATGATCATAGCTCACTGCAGCCTCGACCTCCTGGGCTCAAGCAATCCTCCCAACTCAACCTCCCCAGAAGCTGGAACTACAGGCACGCCACCACCAAGCCCAGCTAATTTTTTTTGTAGAGAGGATGTCTTATTATGTTGCCCAGGCTGGTCCCAAACTCCTGGGCTTGAGATCCTTCTTCCTCGGCCTCCCAAAGTGCTGAGATTACAGGTGTGAGCCACTACACCAGACCTGAGAAAGGCTCTTTCAAGAGGGAAAAGCACTTGCAAAAGTGCAGAGGAAGAAGAGCACAGAACATTCTCTGGCCGGGGGAAATGAGGAAGGTGAAGCCAGAACAGGGGGCGGGGGTGAAGAGGAGCGGCAGATACAGGTGGAGAGCAGGGGGGCTGCAAAGCTGCCTGGTGTCCATCTCCTCCAGAGAAGAGAGGGACTGGTCCCCCAAACTCAGGGGGAGGCATGTGGCAGATGCTGGAGTGTGGGGGACACTGAGACAGGGAACAGGGCGCCTGGGAGGCTCGTGTCTCCCCCCACCCCTCAGTTTACCCATCTGTGACATGGGCAGTGTGGGCCTCTAGTCTGAGCACAACTTTTCTTTGGACATAAAAACTATAGAGTTCACACTGTGTCATCAGGGGGTCCTTCCTGTCCCCATCCAGTGCCCAGTGCCACACACTCAGGTGTCCTAAGGACACACCAGGGCCTGGGCCAGGCTGGGGGCTTCTGCCTCCACTCCATGGTGCAGAACAAGGCTTGGGGAGTGTGGCGGTGGCTGGGGAGCCCTGGGCCCCCGGAGGGCTGCTCTGTTTACCCGAGGCCGCCCGCCTCTGATGCAACAGGCAGGCTCTGGTTACGTGAGGCCGGCAGCTGGGCCAGCTCTGGGGGAAGGGCTAGCCCGGCAGAGCGAAGCTGGCTGGGGCTGGCCCTCATGCACCCCGACTTCCCAGCCCCCTTCTTCTGGTGGGCACCATCTTGTTATTCATAGTCTGTCCCCTGTCCTTTTGCCTCTGTTCCTATCCTATACCGTCCCCAACCACTAATTGTGTCCCCTAGCAGGGCCCCCAAGAGTCTTAACCTCATTCTTCTCAGATGAAGGGACACCCTTAGCTGCTAGGGTAAGAGCTGGAGAGTAGAGGGGAAGGTTTTGAGGAGGAAGGGATAGAAGGGGCCAGAGTGGGTGGCGAGGGAGAAGGGTGACCTGGGAAGGGGGTCTGGGAGATGGGGGAGGCGGTGGGTGGGGAATGGAGGAGAAGGCTGGGGTGGGAGGCTTGGGGAGGTGAAGAAGCTGTCCCCACTCTCCCTCCTCCAGATTCTCTCCCCTCTCCCAGGGGAAGGCTTTGAAGGACCTTCTGTGGCAAGGATGTATGGCCCAGTGGGTAGGGAGGGCCCCCGAGGTTAAAGAACACCGAGTCCCCATCCCAGCTGTGCCGCCCACTCACTGTGTGACCTCAGGATGGTCACTGCACCCCTTGGGGCCTCCTTACTCATGTGACAAGTGCGGATAGGCTGGGCGTGGTGGCTCATGCCTATAATCCCAGTATTTTGGGAGGCCAAGGTGGGTGGATCACTTCAGGCCAGGAGTTCGAGATGGACCTGGCCAACATGGCAAAACCGCATCTCTCCTAAAAATACAAAAATTAGCCAGGCATGGTGGCACATGCCTGTAATTCCAGCTACTCAGGAGGCTGAGGCAGGAGAATCGCTAGAACCCGGGAGGTGGAGGTTGCAGTGAGCCAAGAGGAGCCCTCAAGGTCCACCTACTATGTTCCCTCCTCCAAAAGCCTTCCTATCCTCTTACCATTTAGGATCCTTCCACCTCCCCATCCTTGCTTCCAGCTTAGCACTGATCCAGAGGGCGGGGTGGAGTGTGTGGCTGGTTCTGTCTCCCCCAGCCTGGGGGTTCCTTAGGCCCGAGCCCAGTACATGGTGGCACCAAAGGGGTGTCTCCATGGGTTTTTCTTTTTGTTTTTTTAGAGACAGAGTTGCTCTGTTGCCCAGGCTGGAGTGCAGTGTTGCAATCATGGCTCACTGCAGCCTTGAACTCCTGGGCTCAAGTGATCCTCTCGATTCCACCTCCCAAGTAGCTGGGACCACAGGAACGCACCACCACACCTGGCTGATTTTTTAATATTTTTTGAGGTGCACCGGGTGTCTCACTTGCTGCCCAGGCTGGTCTCGAACTCCTGGGCTCAAGCGATCCTCCTGCCTTGGCCTCCAAAAGCGCTGGGATTACGGGTGTGAGCCATTGCGCACAGTCTCCATGGGTTTCTTGAAGAACTGGAGAATCTCAAAGAAGGTCTAAGCAGTGAAAGGGAGTGGGGGATAAGCCTGGGGCATCCAGAAGCCTTGTTCAGGGATACAATAGGGCTTTAAAAAAAAAATAAAAAAAAAAGGCTTTCCAGGGTCCTGAGTGTGCAGGACTCTCCAGGAACCCAGAGCAGGTCTGAAATAAAAACAAGGACTCAGACCAAGGGCTAAGGACAAAAACCCAGCAGAAGTCTGATTCTTGTCCTGACCACTGTGGATGAAGCAGGGGGCAGGTCGCTGCCCTCTATGGGTCTCCTTTCACCCCATCTGCAGATCAGGGTTGGGATCCTTTCTTGGTGATCTCCAGCCTCGGGAGCGCTACGCTCTTGTTTGGATGCCCCATGGCACAGAGAGCTGTCTCTTCTAGCTGCCCACCCATCTCTGGAGTTCTGCCGGAAGTAAATGCTTTTTTTTTTTGAGACAGTCTTGCTCTGTAGCCAGGCTGGAGTGCAGTGGCACAACCTCCGCCTCCCGGGTTCAAGCCATTCTCCTGCCTCAACCTACCAGTAGCTGGAATTAAGGTGTGCACACCACCACACCCAGATAATTTTTGTATTTTTAGTAGAGATAGTTTTCACCATTGATACCAGAATGGTCTTGATCACCTGACCTCGTGATCCACCCCCTTGGGCCTCCCAAAGTGCTGGATTACAGGTGTGACCCACCGGCCCAGCTGGTTGTTTTTGAAATGGAGTCTACCTCTGTCGCCCAGGCTGGAGTGCAGTGGCGTGGACTCGGCTCACTGCAACCTCCCGGCTCAGCGATTCTCCTGCCTCAGCCCCCAGAGAAAGCGGGATTTACAGGTGGGCAC